GGTTTAGGGGTTTAGGGTTTCGGCTTGAGTCTTCGCATGAAAGATACCCAAGCTCCAATGAAACCGGATAGTTCATCATGAACCTAGCATCCAGAGCCTAGAGCTTGGTATGTAACAACATGTACAACCTTCACGAGAGAAGCTCCTGAAACCTGCTTCAAGGATCATGGGACTTCGTAACTGAGGTACAAATATTTTAACTAAACTTATAATTACTTATAACCCCAATTAAGGTCTTATGACCCTACTTACGAAGTCCCAAGATCCTCCACGCGCAAAAGATCAGACTTCCGACACCCCCCAGCCCAACCTGTCCGTGCCCGGCTGGAGGACCAGAGGTCGAGGGCGCTGCGCGAGGGCACAGGATTCCTCGCGCACCGTCGAGTTTAGGGTTTAGGGTTTAGGGTTTAGGGGGGTCTGAGGGTCTTTAGTAGGTCCAAGTGGTAGGGCTCAGGACTTACGCTCAATCACCTTGTCCGGATATTTTCTATCGAAGTTCACAAACTTGACACCCCCTAGAAATTAAAACCCTCTTGTAAAGGTTCTATCAAACTCCTCAGTATCCATAACCCGGGACTACCCAAGCAGTGCTCCCACACAGACCTTCCCGACTGCAACACTTGTTGAGCGGGGTTCCAAGACTCAGGTTTACGGCGGTTGAGTTCAAATTTCGGTTCTTGCTTCTTGCGACTGGAGTTCGGGTTGCACCGCTTGGGGTTGATAGAATCTAACTTCGAGATTCAATTCTCGCTCCGCAAGTTTGGAGAGGTGAGATCCGCGTACATGGATTTCCGCATCTGCACACACATGGCTTCGCAATTGTGTGCCGGTGTAACAGTGTACATTTGCAATATCTACACACGTGTACAGTCGTAGGTAAAGCCATACATATGCCTACATGTATCACATACATATGCGATCATGTACGTTTACTCGACAACACATAAACAAGCGCGCTGCGCCACCTCTTCCCCCCCTCCCGTCCAGTATGATGGCATAGCCCCCTCCCGCCACCTACTGCAAGACCGAAACTTCAATCCAGCAGCCGAAACACTTTCGCAATCATCACAGTTATAGGTATGTCTGTCGGTTTATCTGTCTGCTGTCTGTACGCATGTGTACTTGCTGTCTGTATGCAACCTGTTTCAATCACAGACACAGATACAAATACATGTGTTCCCACACGTGGGCAGAACAGAAAAAATGTGGGTGTACTGGATACACGTATGTGCATGCGCATCAAAAAACACAACAACCCATATTCAGGCATGGAAACATCTTCATATATACGTATGTATATATATATATATATATGTATACACACCTGCTTGCTGCAATACCTGCCGGTGTGCATGTTGACTGCCGCGGAAGAACCAGGAATACAATGATAAAAAGCACTGTCCTCGGAATCTTCTGGGTGGGTGGCTATCGCACCAACTGCAAGGAACAACAGCCAAAGACAACGAAGCGGCACCATGATTGAAGCCTTTCCGACAAGACGGTGGCTCAAGGCACTCCAGCAAGTCCTAACTTGTGCAAGAAGCAAACACTAAGTGCGAAACTCTCTCGTGCTGAGACAAGCATGCAGACGATGTGGCACTTTAGCAGTTAACATGTGGAGATTGCTTTCGTTGTTCATGTGTCACACAAGCCCGGCTGCTTAACTTTGTGCTCAAATCCACTCACAAACGCTGAGCCACGTGCCGATGCATTGCCAAGAAGCTATTTAGAATACAAGATTGCAGTTAAATTTCCAACATTGATTTCCAGAATATGACATGCATCTTTTCGTCGCAACATCTTCCGTAGCTGCCCAGCCTCTCGATCTCCACAGCATATCAACGAAACGTTAATTGAGTATCGGATCTTTTTTGGCGTGATGCAGTCTCAGGTGCGACTGCTGTCGCTCGGTCCAAGGCAAGAAATCCGATAAAGTAAAAGCTGCACAAAGAGGATTATGAAGCGTGAAACACAAGGCGTTGCCAGCTTCAAGTTCCTGGAAAAAGCTGCAGCTGATGGAAAAGGGAGCTACTTAGCAGCGATGAGAAGGAACGGTTGCCATGCCAAAAGCCGCAGTCGGCGAGAACCCGGGAACCCGGAAGACTCCCCAGCCCTGCCTAGACCCAAAAGAACCTAAGGGTTTAGGGTTTAGGGTTTAGGGATTTAGGGGTTTAGGCATAGTATGGGTAAATATTCAGGCCCATGTATTAAGCCTTAAACCCTAAACATAAGCCCGGTTTAGGGCTGAACATGGGTCTGGGCGGCTTGGATTTGTTTTTGTTGAAGGGGTTTAGGGCTTGTGGGGTTCAGGGGTTCCTTATCTGTCTAGTAGAGGGGCCTTAATGATTAGAAGAGGGTTTTGGGACCCAATATACTATAATTATAATCAGGACCCCCCCAAAATAATATAGGTAATGATTTAGGCCCCTATATTAGTGAGCTTCATGAGGCTTCGAAGGGATATGCCTCGAAC